GATCACTTGTACAAAACAAGTGGCGGCTTCCCCGCTGTACATTTAGCTCTGCTTGCCCAAAGCAGGCCTAATGTAGAAAACAACTACCCACCCGGCACCCAGAACCGCATGTCCCAGGCATCAGGAGATAGGAATTCCACACCCCTGCTGCCCCTCTACTCCCTGCTGCCCCGGTTCTGGGCCTTGGTTGGCCTTGTGGGAAATCCGGCCCTGTACAGAAAATACCTGGTGATCTTGCCAGAAATGCAGCATCCTTGTCGCTTCCTGTAAGATGAAACATCTTGCCGTTAAAATGCTAATCCCATCAGCCCACCATGTCATGGAGATGAACAACGGCAGGCATGTTTGAAGTCCAGCCTGTATGACAACCATGGCTGCCTAGATACAATGGAGAAATGGCCCAGGGACAGGTGATTTGCAGGTGAAAGGGGAAAAAGCTTGAACCATATCTAAGTACTGGTAAACAGCAATATATTTTTGGGGGGTTTAGATACAAATTAAATCTAGGAGTTACCCACCAGACTCTGCCTATTACTGAAATATCACTTTTGGATGGACCAGCCCCTTAAAAAAATTGACTTCAATGTCTTTTATGAATTCCTTTTTGTATGTTAGATCTAGAAAATTGTACAGTTATATACAGTTGCAGACTCATTCCAAAGAATCGCGCTTACACGCAGAACACGCACAGGCGCATACATATATAAATATGTCCTATGTATGTATGTTTGTGGTCAGTTGATTCCAACCCATTGACGCATGTGACATTTCTGTACTAATCCACTTTTACTTTATAACTAGGAAAGACCTGGGGTTGTACGAGAAGCACTCTGAAATAAAACCATTGGCCAGTCATTTTAATTTTAAATCAAACCTGCCCCCAGGGTTTGGAGGGGTGACTGCTTTAAGATCATCTGACATGGCAGTTTGATCCTTTCTAAGCTGCGGTTGTTTAGATCAGCAGAAAGATGCCTCCAAAAATTATTTAAAGAGACCCTGTCACCAGTCTAGTGGCATAACTATAGCCATAGCAGCCCAGGCGGCTGCTATGGGGCCTGGCGATGGAAGGTGGCCCCATTAGGTTGTTGAGGCAAATTTAACAGAACAGAGGAAGATAATTCAGTACTGTATCATTAAGGGTTGGTATTAAAGTCTACAGTGTAGAGACAGTTAGTCAGGAGTAGACATGTAAAATGCGGTTCGTTTCGGTTATTTCGGAAATTCAATTCGGTTCAGGTTTTGGATTCGGACGAAATACGTTTCGTTAGTTTACAAATATTTGTTGCGAATACCACAGAAAACCATATACAGATATTAATACTAAAGCTGAATCGCCTTGACCCAAATGGCATTCAGGAATCCGTATTTCCGAATTGTATACGGGAGCTCCTGAATGCCATTCGGGTCTGGAAGCCTCACCTTTAGTAATATATGTATTTGGTTTCCAGACCCCAGTGGCATTCGGGAGCTCCCAAATGCGATTCGGAAATTCGGATTCCAAATGCCATTCGGGTCTGGGAGCCATATACAGTAGTTACATATATTACTAAAGCAGAGGCTCCCAGACCATGGATGGCATTCAGGATCCGAATTTCCAAATTGCATTCGGGAGCTCCCAAATGCCGTTCGGGTCTGTGAGCCACATACATATATTACCTCCCAGACCCCAATGGCATTCAAAAGCTCCCGAATGCAATTCAGAAATTCGGATGCCGAATGCCATCCATGGTCTGGGAGCCTCAGCTTTAGTATTATATGCATATACTGTGTATGGCCCCCATGTTGCCGTAACAAAAATTTGTGTTCAGACCCATTCGGATGCATTAAACACGAAAAACACATCTAATTGGCCAGAAAAGTCACATGTCCAATTCAGTTTAGTTTTTAAAATGAAATTCGGAACGGGATCCGAAATTTGGAAATGGAAATTTGAATTCGGACACATTTGGATGCACTGGGATTCAGAAATTTGTCCGAATTTTGATTCAGAATGAAACGAATCGCACATGTCTACTCAGGAGAAATCTCCCAAAAGCTGACACGGGCAACCAAGAAACTCCAAAGGAGATTGTATGCTGTCCTCACTCTGTCCAAGAAAAAAAAGCCGCTTTTTATACGCAAAGCATCATCTCTGTACAGGCCCGGCTATTCCAAAACTGAGCTTTACTCCATGAAAGGTGCGGCACTATGTTCACCTATATGAAGAAAATATTTCACTTCTGAGCTGAGAACATATGTGGAAGCACCGTTACCCTTTGGGTCTGGATTCACATTTGTGTGTTGCAGTAACCCCTCTGGTGCTGCCAATGCCGATCTCTAATTGCCTGGCTGTTGTGCTGACCTACTCAATGTGACACTTTTGGGGTCCCAGACCCAAAAGAAGGACAAAGACCTCTGAAGATCCTTTTCTGCATCA